TGTATTGTTTTCTGCTACATAGACAGATAATGGAGATATTCCTAGAGGTGTCCCTGTATTGGGTCCGGCTCCTTCTATATTGGAGATATTCCTAGAGGTGTCCCTGTATTAGGTCCTGCTCCTTCTATAATGGAGATATTCCTAGAAGTGTCCCTGTGTTGGGTCCTGCTCCTTCTATAATGGAGATATTCCTAGAAATGTCCCTGTATTAGGTCCTGCTCCTTCTATAATGGAGATATTCCTAGAAATGTCCCTGTATTAGGTCCTGCTCCTTCTATAATGGAGATATTCCTAGAGGTGTCCCTGTATTGGGTCCTGCTCCTTCTATAATGGAGATATTCCTAGAGGTGTCCCTGTATTGGGTCCTGCTCCTTCTATAATGGAGATATTCCTAGAGGTGTCCCTGTATTGGGTCCTGCTCCTTCTATAATGGAGATATTCCTAGAAATGTCCCTGTATTAGGTCCTGCTCCTTCTATAATGGAGATATTCCTAGAGGTGTCCCTGTATTGGGTCCGGCTCCTTCTATAATGGAGATATTCCTAGAGGTGTCCCTGTATTGGGTCCGGCTCCTTCTATATTGGAGATATTCCTAGAGGTGTCCCTGTATTAGGTCCTGCTCCTTCTATAATGGAGATATTCCTAGAAGTGTCCCTGTGTTGGGTCCTGCTCCTTCTATAATGGAGATATTCCTAGAAATGTCCCTGTATTAGGTCCTGCTCCTTCTATAATGGAGATATTCCTAGAAATGTCCCTGTATTAGGTCCTGCTCCTTCTATAATGGAGATATTCCTAGAGGTGTCCCTGTATTGGGTCCTGCTCCTTCTATAATGGAGATATTCCTAGAAATGTCCCTGTATTAGGTCCTGCTCCTTCTATAATGGAGATATTCCTAGAGGTGTCCCTGTATTGGGTCCGGCTCCTTCTATGATGGAGATATTCTTAGATGTGTCCCTGTATTGGGTCCTGCTCCTTCTATGATGGAGATATTCCTAGAGGTGTCCCTGTATTGGGTCCCTGCTCCTTCTATGATGGAGATATTCCTAGAGGTGTCCCTGTATTAGGTCCTGCTCCTTCTATGATGGAGATATTCCTAGAGGTGTCCCTGTATTGGGTCCTGCTCCTTCTATAATGGAGATATTCCTACAGGTGTCCCTGTATTGGGTCCTGCTCCTTCTACGATGGAGATATTCCTAGAGGTGTCCCTGTATTGGGTCCGGCTCCTTCTATGATGGAGATATTCCTAGAGGTGTCCCTGTATTAGGTCCGGCTCCTTCTATAATGGAGATATTCCTAGATGTGTCCCTGTATTGGGTCCTGCTCCTTCTATAATGGAGATATTCCTAGAGGTGTCCCTGTATTGGGTCCGGCTCCTTCTATAATGGAGATATTCCTAGAGGTGTCCCTGTATTGGGTCCTGCTCCTTCTACGATGGAGATATTCCTAGAGGTGTCCCTGTATTGGGTCCGGCTCCTTCTATAATGGAGATTTTCCTAGGGGTGTCCCTGTATTAGGTCCGGCTCCTTCTATAATGGAGATATTCCTACAGGTGTCCCTGTATTGGGTCCTGCTCCTTCTATAATGGAGATTTTCCTAGAGGTGTCCCTGTATTGGGTCCTGCTCCTTCTACGATGGAGATATTCCTAGAGGTGTCCCTGTATTGGGTCCTGCTCCTTCTATAATGGAGATTTTCCTAGAGGTGTCCCTGTATTGGGTCCTGCTCCTTCTATATTGGAGATATTCCTAGAAATGTCCCTGTATTGGGTCCTGCTCCTTCTATAATGGAGATATTCCTAGAAGTGTCCCTGTATTGGGTCCTGCTCCTTCTATATTGGAGATATCCCTAGAGGTGTCCCTGTATTGGGTCCTGCTCCTTCTACGATCGAGATTTTCCTAGAGGTGTCCCTGTATTGGGTCCGGCTGCTTCTATAATGGAGATATTCCTTGAAGTGTCCCTGTATTAGGTCCTGCTCCTTCTATAATGGAGATTCTCCTAGAGGTGTCCCTGTATTGGGTCCGGCTCCTTCTATAATGGAGATATTCCTAGAGGTGTCCCTGTATTTGGTCCTGCTCCTTCTATAATGGAGATATTCCTAGAAGTGTCCCTGTATTTGGTCCTGCTGCTTCTATAATGGAGATATTCCTAGATGTGTCCCTGTATTGGGTCCTGCTCCTTCTACAATGGAGATATTCCTAGAGGTGTCCCTGTATTGGGTCCTGCTCCTTCTATAATGGAGAAATTTCTAGGGGTGTCCCTGTATTAGGTCCGGCTCCTTCTATAATGGAGATATTCCTACAGGTGTCCCTGTATTGGGTCCTGCTCCTTCTATAATGGAGATTTTCCTAGAGGTGTCCCTGTATTGGGTCCTGCTCCTTCTACGATGGAGATATTCCTAGAGGTGTCCCTGTATTGGGTCCTGTCCTTCTATAATGGAGATTTTCCTAGAGGTGTCCCTGTATTGGGTCCTGCTCCTTCTATATATTGGAGATATTCCTAGAGGTGTCCCTGTATTGGGTCCGGCTCCTTCTATAATGGAGATTTTCTAGGGGTGTCCCTGTATTAGGTCCGCTCCTTCTATAATGGAGATATTCCTAGAGGTGTCCCTGTATTGGGTCCGGCTCCTTCTATAATGGAGATTTTCCTAGGGTGTCCCTGTATTAGGTCCGGCTCCTTCTATAATGGAGATATTCCTACAGGTGTCCCTGTATTGGGTCCTGCTCCTTCTATAATGGAGATTTTCCTAGAGGTGTCCCTGTATTGGGTCCTGCTCCTTCTACGATGGAGATATTCCTAGAGGTGTCCCTGTATTGGGTCCTGCTCCTTCTATAATGGAGATTTTCCTAGAGGTGTCCCTGTATTGGGTCCTGCTCCTTCTATATTGGAGATATTCCTAGAAATGTCCCTGTATTGGGTCCTGCTCCTTCTATAATGGAGATATTCCTAGAAGTGTCCCTGTATTGGGTCCTGCTCCTTCTATATTGGAGATATCCCTAGAGAGGTGTCCCTGTATTGGGTCCTGCTCCTTCTACGATCGAGATTTTCCTAGAGGTGTCCCTGTATTGGGTCCGGCTGCTTCTATAATGGAGATATTCCTTGAAGTGTCCCTGTATTAGGTCCTGCTCCTTCTATAATGGAGATTCTCCTAGAGGTGTCCCTGTATTGGGTCCGGCTCCTTCTATAATGGAGATATTCCTAGAGGTGTCCCTGTAATTTGGTCCTGCTCCTTCTATATAATGGAGATATTCCTAGAAGTGTCCCTGTATTTGGTCCTGCTGCTTCTATAATGGAGATATTCCTAGATGTGTCCCTGTATTGGGTCCTGCTCCTTCTACAATGGAGATATTCCTAGAGGTGTCCCTGTATTGGGTCCTGCTCCTTCTATAATGGAGAAATTTCTAGAGGTGTCCTTGTATTGGGTCCTGCTCCTTCTATAATAGAGATATTCCTAGAAACGTCCCTGTATTAGGTCCTGCTCCTTCTATAATGGAGATATTCCTAGAGGTGTCCCTGTATTGGGTCCTGCTCCTTCTACAATGGAGATATTCCTAGACGTGTCCTTGTATTAGGTCCTGCTCCTTCTACGATGGAGCTTTTCCTAGAAGTGTCCCTGTATTAGGTCCTGCTCCTTCTACAATCGAGATATTCCTAGAAATGTCCCTGTATTGGGTCCTGCTCCTTCTATAATGGAGATATTCCTAGAGGTTTCCCTGTATTGGGTCCTGCTCCTTCTATAATGGAGATATTCCTAGAGGTGTCCCTGTATTAGGTCCTGCTCCTTCTATAATGGAGATTTTCCTAGAAGTGTCCCTGTATTGGGTCCTGCTCTTTCTACAATGGAGATATTCCTAGAAGTGTCCCTGTATTGGGTCCTGCTCTTTCTACAATGGAGATATTCCTAGAAGTGTCCCTGTATTGGGTCCTGCTCCTTCTACAATGGAGATTTTCCTAGAAGTGTCCCTGTATTGGGTCCTGCTCCTTCAATAATGGAGATATTCCTAGAGGTGTCCCTGTATTAGGTCCTGCTCCTTCTACAATGGAGATTTTTTCTAGAAGTGTCCCTGTATTAGGTCCTGCTCCTTCTACAATGGAGATATTCCTAGATGTGTCCCTGTATTGGGTCCTGCTCCTTCTACAATGGAGATTTTGCTAGAGGTGTCCCTGTATTGGGTCCTGCTCCTTCTACAATGGAGATATTCCTAGATGTGTCCCTGTATTGGGTCCTGCTTCTTCAATAATGGAGATATTCCTAGAGGTGTCCCTGTATTAGGTCCTGCTCCTTCTACAATGGAGATTTTCCTAGAGGTGTCCCTGTATTGGGTCCTGCTCCTTCTATAATGGAGATATTCCTAGAGGTGTCCCTGTATTGGGTCCTGCTCCTTCTACAATGGAGATTTTCCTAGAAGTGTCCCTGTATTGGGTCCTGCTCCTTCTATAATGGAGATATTCCTAGAGGTGTCCCTGTATTGGGTCCTGCTCCTTCTATATTGGAGATTTTCCCAGAGGTGTCCCTGTATTGGGTCCTGCTCCTTCTACAATGGAGATTTTCCTAGAAGTGTCCCTGTATTGGGTCCTGCTCCTTCTATAATGGAGATATTCCTAGAGGTGTCCCTGTATTGGGTCCTGCTCCTTCTACAATGGAGAGATTTTCCTAGAAGTGTCCCTGTATTGGGTCCTGCTCCTTCTATAATGGAGATATTCCTAGAGGTGTCCCTGTATTGGGTCCTGCTCCTTCTATATTGGAGATTTTCCCAGAGGTGTCCCTGTATTAGGTATTATAGTCATTCACAGAGACGAGGACTCCATAAAGGGTGCCATCAGAGATCCGTTTCTGAATTTGTTAACAATGGAATCATAATATGCAGATGGTCCTCATTTACACCATTGCCCTGAAACGCCCCGATTTTATCCCCCTTTGGCTTTCCCTGCACAGTGCTTGATACGTCACCCTCTGCACCTCCTGGTAGTCAGCGACTAATGAGACTAACCCTTTGTTCCCCCAGCACTGATCCTCATCTTCTATCTGCTGTTCTACGCCTTCCTCACGGCTGTCTTCACTCTCAGTATGTGGGTGTTGCTGCAGACCATTGACGAATATAATCCAAAATATGCAGATCGACTGGTCAATCCAGGTAAGAGAAGCCCCCCCCCCCCCCCCGCCCATTCATCCACCTCTTGTAGGGCTTTCCTATATTCATATACTATAGCTGGTGGAAATGAAGGTCTACTTTTCGCTGGAGTACCCAGGCCTCTCCATACAGTCCTCATCCTCAGAAACCTTCACACGTAGCTGGAGAAGTACATTATGGGTGCTCATGGGATCCCAATGTGATGGGGATAGCTGTGTACAAACATCTCAAAACTAGAATCCACCTTCGTGTAGAGGGGGGATGCTGGGAAAATGGAGAGCAAGACTTGGTTCAGGAGAACTGTCAGTTTTTGAAGAGAACATGGTAGAGGGAGAGAGACTTCAATCTTTGGGTAAATCATGGTGGAGGAAGTGAGTCTTCAGTTTTCGGGTAGACCATGGTGGAGGGAGCGAGCCTTCAGTCTTTGGGTAGATCATGGTGTAGGGAGTGATCCTCCAGTCTTTGGGTAGATCATGGTGTAGGGAGTGAGCCTCCAGTCTTTGAGTAGATCATGGTGGAGGGAGCGAGCCTTCAGTCTTTGGGTAGATCATGGTGTAGGGAGTGAGCCTTCAGTCTTTTGGTAGATCATGGTGGAGCAGGTCAGTCATCAGTCTTTAAAGAGAACTTTGTGGAGGGAGTGAGCTTTCATTCTTTGGTAGATCATGGTGGAGGGAGTGAGCCTTCAGTCTTTGAGCAGATCATGGTGGAGCAGGTCAGTCATCAGTCTTTGAAGAGAACTTGGTGGAGGGAGTGAGCTTTCATTCTTTGGTAGATCATGGTGGAGGGAGTGAGCCTTCAGTCTTTGAGCAGATCATGGTGGAGCAGGTCAGTCATCAGTCTTTGAAGAGAACTTGGTGGAGGGAGTGAGCTTTCATTCTTTGGGTAGATCATGGTGAAGCGGGCCATTCATCAGTCTTTGAAGAAAACATGCAGGAGTGGGTGATAATTCTTTGAAGAGAACATGGTAGAGTTGGTAAATCATGAGTTTTTGGGAAGAACATGGTGGGGTAGGTGAGCAATCAAATAATTTGCTGCCATGGATCCTGCCCCATCCAGCTCCATGTATCCACTCTTTAGGAATCATCAGTCAGAAATCTCTCTCATATCTGCAGCCTTTCTCCTCACAGGATTAATGATCAGACCCAAGTTGGACGCCCTGGAGATCGTATATAGCATTAATGGACAGAACACTACCTGGCATAATTATGTTGATGGCCTTCATACTGTGCTGCAAGGTAAGTCTACTGAGATCTCTTATACATTCTGTTTATATTTGTCATCCAATATTTCATCTATATCTTCCCACCACCCTCCACTGATATACATTCCCCTCTCTGTCTTCCTACCACCCTCCATTGATAAGCATACCCCTCAATCACCCAAAAGTCTACCTCCTGTACTTGTCTCCAAAACCATCCGCTATCCAATATCTCCCCAGTACCTACACCTGATACCCATCCCCAGGATCATCTACTTTCCAATATGCCCCTAACACATTTATCTGATGTCCTTCCTGACTATTACCCCAAAACTCTTTCACCTGCACCTACCTACAGGGCCATCTGTCATCCAATATCTCCACAGTACTTACACCTGATACCCATACCCAGGATCATCTCCCATTCAATATTCTCCCGAACACAATCATCTGATATCCTTCCTGACTATTACCCCAACAGTCTGTCATCTGCACCCACCTACAGGGCCATTGGTCATCCAATATCTCTCCAGCACCTACACCTGATACCTATCCCCAGGACCATCTGCTATCCCAATGTGTCCCTAACACATTCACCTGATATCTTTCCTAACTATCACTCCAAAACTCTGTCGCCTGCAACCCATCTAAAATGACCATCTGCAATCCAATATCTCCCCAGCTCCTACACCTGATGCCCTTCCCCATGATCACCTCCTATCTCCTGAACACATTCATTTGACGTCCAGCTATCACCCTACAAGTCTGATACTTGTGCTCATCTACAGGATCATCTGCCATCCAATATGTCCCTAACACATTCATCTGATGTCGTTCCTGACTACCACCCCACAAGTCTGACAGTTGTGCCCATGTTCAGGACTGTCTGTCATCTAATATCTCTTCATCACCTTCATCTATTAAGTACCCCCACTGTTCCCTCCAAATGGTTGAACTGTACCTGTATCATCCAGTGGCTCACATGCCCCTCAGTTACATCCAGTGCATTCTACTATCTACTATTGTTGTTATCTTTCCACCTGTAGGTCTTCTACTCGTCTCTTGTATCCCATATTTCCCCCACATCATCCACCCTTCACCTCTCTAAACATGATCTTCCTCATCCCATCCTCCCCATTCTGTATTGTGCTTTTCCCTGTTATCCGCTATCTTAGAGATACTTTATCTTCAGCCATCCCTCCAACACACACTGTGCCCAATCTCTGCCCATGATATCTACCTTCATAATGTGGTCCTCTATTCAGATCTCCAACATCCAGCTCCATCCACCACCCCTCAGAGGGACCTTATCCTTTTAGTACCCCTACAATGTCTGTACCTAGGCTGTTGTATTGCCACAATAGTTCTCTTCCTTCTAAAGGTCTTTCTCTATCCTCTGAAATTGTAAGTAGTGTAGGTCCATTCTAATGTGTGGCCATCTCTCGGAAATCTTCTGGAGCCGTCACTATCCCCTTCTCTCCCACAGATTATAACCAATCTGTCCAAGAACATAGAGGCACCATGTGTACGCCTGGAGTCTACAACCGGCAGGATGACACCGGGGAGGTCAGGAATTACCCCAAGAAGGCTTGTCAGTTTGTACGGGATAATCTGGGTGACTGCTCCGGGATAGGATTGGATCCCACGTTCGGATATGCCAATGGAACGCCATGTGTGCTCATTAAAATGAATCGGGTGAGGTATTTGGAGGACTTGGCTGGGGTGCTTGAGATTTACCATATCTTAAACCTCCCCTCGTATCTATGTGCACCCCCAGATATGATGATACACAGAATCCCCTCATCTGGCTGTACACCCCTGTTTGGTAATGCTGTTTCAACCCCTTTACATCACCCCAACTCTTCTAAAACCCTACAAGAGGTGATGCTTACTAAATGGCCTGGCCCAGGCCTCGCCTGACACAACGGCATCCCCTTGGGGGTTTATGGTCCTCCACACTTTCATTCTGGATAGAGTAGGGATCAGGGAGAACTTTTCTCAGGTTCTCATGACTGGCTTGTACCCAGGTTGGAGGTATTATGTCCCACATTCTGTCTTGTTGACTGTCACAGATAAAACGTACGCCCAGAGCGACTAGCTAACCGAGGCGTGGTCCGTGCCTTGGGGTAAAGAGGGAATGAGGAGGACTTTGAGCATATAAGACTGGCCTTGATACCCTTTCACAGCCCGCACTACCTCTGGCCACCACTAGAGGGAGACTCCACTCCAATCCAGATGGCTGACCACACTCAGGCAGATAGGAATCTTATATACAATCTGGTGCACTCTAAGGGTTGGGGAGCAGTCTAGTAATTAGCACAACCTTCTAGAATTCCTCCAACTATCCTACCAGATAGAACCCCCGTGTTAATCACTCTTCCACTGCCCACACCCCACCCCCACACTAGATGCACAACAAAAGGTAGCTTGCCACCACCAAACAGTTTGTCCGCAGAACGGTCTCTTGGGACACCACACACACAGATTTCTGTCTGGCAGATCTGCTACTTTACAATCTGCATGCAATCTGCCAACACACAGTGCAATTGCACACAGATAGTCAATGAGCTTGACCGAGCGTATAAAGACACTGCAATCCAATCCAATCTCTCCGGAGATCTGAGCCCGAGCTTAAGTACCCAGAAGTCACTTATTCATTTTATGATTTAATATCCCAAAAGTGGGCGGTGCATAAAATATGTACAAGGAAAAAGAGTTACAGAAAATACAAAAAGACACACAATTGGCTATTCACTATGAAATTAAAAGGAAATAAAAACAGAAATAAAACTTTTACCAAGATTTATCCTGCGACTGGAGCAAGTCAGAGAAAGTCCGCGATTCGCCAGTCAATAGAACCGGCTCCGTACGAATCACGCCGTCCATATCTCAGGGTCCTCAACTTGTTGAAATATGGATGTGGGCTGGACATTAGTCGTTGGTCAATCAACCCTGGGGGGTGTTCCTGTACCAGCCCACAGGACGTTTTGTGTTCTGAAGAGCTCAGAGTTGAATGGGCCAGGAACGATTCAGATCACTGGCTCAGGGATAGGATTTCCGACACCAGCGAGTCAGTCCAATGGCAACAGTACCAATCATTGTTCAGCTGTCACAATCAGGTGCCGTATAATCATTTTGTGTGTTTCTCTGGGATTCTACAGAGGCTACAAATACAGTTTTACATGTAGATGGAGCCTGCAGTGTGTCCAATCAGAAGGAAGTATTTTCATCTCTCTGCAACTAATATTTTAGGTCTTATGAGAGATGAAATAGATTCCTCTGATCTGTGGGTATAAGTCAGAGCTGGCAGACAAATCGGAGCCACTCCTGGTCCCCTGCTGACTCTTGTAGCCGAAATGACTAGGATTCTTCTTTTAGGTTCAAGAAGGTGGCAAATTCTGACTACATAGGTGAGAACGTTGTATTGGCACCTCAGTGACCCCTCTAGCCTAGAAGCTGCTCTGGCCTTTCAGTTGATAATTGGAGGACATATGTCTCTGACTGAATACTGATCTATAATAACACGGACCGAGGCCAGATCTACAATTACATATTTCTACTGATCACGTCACGTCTCAAATACCCGACTCTTACATTTATGTTACAGTGACCCCTCCCCCCTCCATCTCCATATGTTACCTCCATCTGCAAAAATTAGATGTCCAAGAAAACAGGTCCACCCCACTGTCTGCTTGATTGTACGTTGGTTGTCAGTGTATGAGGAACAAGTAGTCAGACATCGTTACAGAGATCTTGAGGTGACTACTTATAACCTCCCTACATCTAACTGTTTGTAGGTTACCCCCATCCAGGGGCGGACTGACCATTTGGAAACTCGGGCACTACCTGAGGGCCCGGGTCAGTAGGGGGCCCCATGAGATGCCCCTGGTACCTTTTTCATAGGCCTTTTTGAGTTTGGGCAAGGACACAGGGGCCCCATGATCCCCTATTGCCCAGGGGCCCCATGAGTTGTCAGTCGGCCCCTGCCCCCATCTCTCTTCATGTTGCCTCCATTTCTCTATTCTTCTCATCGTAACATCAGAATGTAGGTCCTCATCATTCTCCTCTTCCCTACACCAGAATGGTGATCCTCATCATTTGTCTTTTCCCAACATCAGAACATAGGTCCTCATCATTTGTCTCTTCCTAACATCAGAACGTATGTCCTCATCATTCGTCTCTTCTTAGCATCAGAACGTAGGTCCTCATCATTCATCTCTTCCTAACATCAGAGTGGTGGTCCTCATCATTCTTCTCTTTCTAACATCGGAGTGGTGGTCCTCATCATTCTTCTCTTCCTAACATCAGAACGTAGGTCCTTATCCTTCTCTTCCTAACACAAGAGTGGTGGTCCTCATCATTCTTCTCTTCCTAACATCAGAGTGGTGGTCCTCATCATTCTTCTCTTCCTAACATCAGAGTGGTGGTCCTCATCATTCTTCTCTTCCTAACATCAGAACATAGTTCCTCATCATTCTTCTCTTCCTAACATCAGAACGTAGGTCCTCATCATTCTTCTCTTCCTAACATAAGAGTGTGGTCCTCAGCATTCTTCTCTTCCTAACATCAGAATGTAGGTCCTCATCATTCTTCTCTTCCTAACATCAGAACATAGGTCCTCATCATTCTTCTCTTCCTAACATCAGAACATAGGTCCTCATCATTCTTCTCTTCCTAACATCAGAATGTAGGTCCTTATCATTCTTCTCTTCCTAACATATCAGAACGTAGGTCCTCATCATTCTTCTCTTCCTAACATCAGAACGTAGGTCCTCATCATTCTTCTCTTCCTAACATCAGAATGTAGGTCCTCATCATTCTTCTCTTCCTAACATCAGAACATAGGTCCTCATCATTCTTCTCTTCCTAACATCAGAATGTAGGTCCTCATCATTCTTCTCTTCCTAACATCAGAACGTAGGTCCTCATCATTCTTCTCTTCTTAACATCAGAACGTAGGTCCTCATCATTCTTCTCTTCCTAACATCAGAACATAGGTCTTCATCATTCTTCTCTTCCTCACATCAGAATGTAGGTCCTCATCATTCTTCTCTTCCTAACATCAGAACATAGGTCCTCATCATTCTTCTCTTCCTAACATCAGAACGTAGGTCCTCATCATTCTTCTCTTCCTAACATCAGAATGTAGGTCCTCATAATTCTTCTCTTCCTAACATCAGAACATAGGTCCTCATCATTCTTCTCTTCCTAACATCAGAACATAGGTCCTCATCATTCTTCTCTTCCTAACATCAGAATGTAGGTCCTCATCATTCTTCTCTTCCTAACATCAGAACATAGGTCCTCATCATTCTTCTCTTCCTAACATCAGAACGTAGGTCCTTATCATTCTTCTCTTCCTAACATCAGAACGTAGGTCCTCATCATTCTTCTCTTCCTAACATCAGAACGTAGGTCCTCATCATTCTTCTCTTCCTAACATCAGAACATAGGTCCTCATCATTCTTCTCTTCCTAACATCAGAATGTAGGTCCTCATCATTCTTCTCTTCCTAACATCAGAACGTAGGTCCTCATCATTCTTCTCTTCCTAACATCAGAACGTAGGTCCTCATCATTCTTCTCTTCCTAACATCAGAACATAGGTCCTTATCATTCTTCTCTTCCTAACATCAGAACGTAGGTCCTCATCATTCTTCTCTTCCTAACATCAGAACGTAGGTCCTCATCATTCTTCTCTTCCTAACATCAGAACATAGGTCCTCATCATTCTTCTCTTCCTAACATAAGAGTGGTGGTCCTCAGCATTCTTCTCTTCCTAACATAAGAGTGGTGGTCCTCAGCATTCTTCTCTTCCTAACATCAGAACATAGGTCCTCATCATTCTTCTCTTCCTAACATCAGAACATAGGTCCTCATCATTCTTCTCTTCCTAACATCAGAACGTAGGTCCTCATCATTCTTCTCTTCCTAACATCAGAATGTAGGTCCTCATCATCCTTCTCTTCCTAACATCAGAACATAGGTCCTCATCATTCTTCTCTTCCTAACATAAGAGTGGTGGTCCTCAGCATTCTTCTCTTCCTAACATCAGAACGTAGGTCCTCATCATTCTTCTCTTCCTAACATCAGAATGTAGGTCCTCATCATTCTTCTCTTCCTAACATCAGAACATAGGTCCTCATCATTCTTCTCTTCCTAACATCAGAATGTAGGTCCTCATCATTCTTCTCTTCCTAACATCAGAACGTAGGTCCTCATCATTCTTCTCTCTTCTTAACATCAGAACGTAGGTCCTCATCATTCTTCTCTTCCTAACATCAGAACATAGGTCTTCATCATTCTTCTCTTCTCTCACACATCAGAATGTAGGTCCTCATCATTCTTCTCTTCCTAACATCAGAACATAGGTCCTCATCATTCTTCTCTTCCTAACATCAGAACGTAGGTCCTCATCATTCTTCTCTTCCTAACATCAGAATGTAGGTCCTCATAATTCTTCTCTTCCTAACATCAGAACGTAGGTCCTCATCATTCTTCTCTTCCTAACATCAGAACATAGGTCCTCATCATTCTTCTCTTCCTAACATCAGAATGTAGGTCCTCATCATTCTTCTCTTCCTAACATCAGAACATAGGTCCTCATCATTCTTCTCTTCCTAACATCAGAACGTAGGTCCTTATCATTCTTCTCTTCCTAACATCAGAACGTAGGTCCTCATCATTCTTCTCTTCCTAACATCAGAACGTAGGTCCTCATCATTCTTCTCTTCCTAAACATCAGAACATAGGTCCTCATCATTCTTCTCTTCCTAACATCAGAATGTAGGTCCTCATCATTCTTCTCTTCCTAACATCAGAACGTAGGTCCTCATCATTCTTCTCTTCCTAACATCAGAACGTAGGTCCTCATCATTCTTCTCTTCCTAACATCAGAACATAGGTCCTTATCATTCTTCTCTTCCTAACATCAGAACGTAGGTCCTCATCATTCTTCTCTTCCTAACATCAGAACGTAGGTCCTCATCATTCTTCTCTTCCTAACATCAGAACATAGGTCCTCATCATTCTTCTCTTCCTAACATAAGAGTGGTGGTCCTCAGCATTCTTCTCTTCCTAACATAAGAGTGGTGGTCCTCAGCATTCTTCTCTTCCTAACATCAGAACATAGGTCCTCATCATTCTTCTCTTCCTAACATCAGAACATAGGTCCTCATCATTCTTCTCTTCCTAACATCAGAACGTAGGTCCTCATCATTCTTCTCTTCCTAACATCAGAATGTAGGTCCTCATCATCCTTCTCTTCCTAACATCAGAACATAGGTCCTCATCATTCTTCTCTTCCTAACATAAGAGTGGTGGTCCTCAGCATTCTTCTCTTCCTAACATCAGAACATAGGTCTTCATCATTCTTCTCTTCCTAACATCAGAATGTAGGTCCTCATCATTCTTCTCTTCCTAACATCAGAACATAGGTCCTCATCATTCTTCTCTTCCTAACATCAGAACATAGGTCCTCATCATTCTTCTCTTCCTAACATCAGAACATAGGTCCTCATCATTCTTCTCTTCCTAACATCAGAACATAGGTCCTCATCATTCTTCTCTTCCTAACATAGGAGTGGTGGTCCTCATCATTCTTCTCTTCCTAACATAGGAGTGGTGGTCCTCATCATTCTTCTCTTCCTAACATAAGAGTGGTGGTCCTCATCATTCTTCTCTTCCTAACATAGGAGTGGTGGTCCTCATCATTCTTCTCTTCCTAACATAAGAGTGGTGGTCCTCAGCATTCTTCTCTTCCTAACATCAGAACATAGGTCTTCATCATTCTTCTCTTCCTAACATAAGAGTGGTGGTCCTCATCCTTCTTCTCTTCCTAACATAAGAGTGGTGGTCCTCATCATTCTTCTCTTCCTAACATAAGAGTGGTGGTCCTCAGCATTCTTCTCTTCCTAACATCAGAACATAGGTCTTCATCATTCTTCTCTTCCTAACATCAGAATGTTGTTCTCATCATTCTCCTCCATCTCTGTCATTGCAGGTGATAAACTTCTTCCCACAAATCATCCCGAGCCTCTCCAACAACTCCATCACTATCAGATGTTTCGGCAGGGTGAGTACATGGTGGGCTCTGAGCTCTTCTGCTTCCCATCTGTCATGTCCGTTATCTCAGACTCACTGTGTCTCTCTCTTTATTGTCTCCAGAAGATAAAACTCGCTGTAAATGAAACGGTAAGAGGTGGAGCCTATAGAAGGCACCATAGGCTCCTCATATAACCTATAGAAGCAGCTTATAGACCCCTGTAGTAAACCCTTCCAAGCGATATGAGGACCACGCATCCCAATTATGTAGAATATGCCTGCTTGTGATAGTGAGAGATACATATCTGTATGATGATGGTGGGAGATGGACCCTATAGGAGATGCCGTAGTAGATCAACCCTATAAAGTCACTCTTCACACCAAAGTCTACTGTATATAAAGGATAGAATATACATCACTACTATGCAGAATATGGTATATGAGACAGGAAGAAGTGGAACCTATAGGAGATGCCATAGAGCAACCCTATAATGTCACTCTTCATACATGATCCCTATATATGTAGGGAATCATATATACCTTACTATGATACAGAATATAATGCTACCTTATATATAAGACAGGAAGAAATTGTCCCCATAGGAGAAGCCATATAGTCACCTTATAGACCCCATAGATGTTCCTGATAGACCTCCATAACCTGCCCCTTCTATATCCCATACAGACACCTAGAACATAAAACATGCATCACTATTATAAAGAATGTAGTGTGTACATCAAGTCTATAGATGGGACAAGAAGAGGTGGGACCTATAGGAGATGCCCCATAGCCTGCTCCGGCTTATATCCCATAAGGCACCTAGAACACAGAATATACCCTAACCCTATTATATAATATACTGTATAGTATGTAACTCTATAGATGGGACAAGAAGAGGTGGGACCTATAGGAGATGTCCCATAGCCTGCCCTGGCTTATATCCCATAAGGCACCTAGAACATAGAATATACCCTAACCCTATTATATAATATACTGTATACTATGTAACTCTATAGATGGGACAAGAGGTGGGACCTATAGGAGATGCCCCATAGCCTGCCCTGGCTTATATCCCATAAGGCACCTAGAACATAGAATATACCCTAACCCTATTATATAATATACTGTATAGTATGTAACTCTATAGATGGGACAAGAAGAGGTGGGACCTATAGGAGATGCCCCATAGCCTCTCTGCTCTGGCTTATATCCCATAAGGCACCTAAAACAGAGACCTAAACACAAACTTATAGACCCTATAAATGTATCTGATAGACCCCCATAGCCAGCCCCTGCCTGTAGCCCATAGAGGCACCCAGAATATAGAATATACATCTCTTTTATAAAGAATATAGTATGTAACCTTATATATGGGACAAGAAAATGTGGAACCTAGAGGAGATGCCTACATCCCATACAGACACCCAACACATAGCCTATACATTTATACTAGACACTGCTAGACATACACTATATTGACAAAAGTATTGGGCCTGCCCTCCCAATCATGTGATTCAGGTGTTCCAATCCCCTCCCAGTCATGTGATTCAGGTGTTCCAATCCCCTCCCAGTCATGTGATTCAAGTGTTCCAATCCCCTCCATGGACACAGGTGTATACAATCAAGCCCCTAGGCATGCAGACTGCTTCTACAAACATTGGTGAAAGAATGGGTCGCTCTCAGGAGCTCAGTGACTCCAAACGTGGTCCCGTGATAGGTGGCCACCTGGGCAATAAGTCCATCCGTGACATTTCCTGGCCACTAAATATTCCACGCTCAACTGTTAGTGGGATAATAACAAAGTGGAAGCCACTGGGAACAACAGCCACTCAGCCACCAAGTGGTAGGCCATGTCACATGACAGGGCGGGGTCAGCGCATGCTGAAGCGCACAGTGCGCAGAAGTCACCAACTGTCTGCAGAGTCAATAGCTAAAGACCTCCAAACTTGGTGTGGCCTTCAGATGATCCCAACAACAGTGCGTAGAGAGCTTCATGGAATGGGTTTCCATGGCCGAGCAGCTGCATCCAAGCCTTCCATCACCAAGTGCAATGCAAAGCGTCGGATGCCGTGGTGTAAAGCACGCCGCCACTGGACTCTAGAGCAGAGGAGATGTGTTCTCTGGAGGGACCAATCATGCTTCTCTGTCTGGCAATCCCATGGATGTGTCTGGGTTTGGCGGTTGCCAGGAGAACGGTATTGCATTGCCTGACTGCATTGTGCCAAGTGTAAAGTTTGGTGGAGGGGGATTATGGTGTGGGGGTGTTTTTCAGGGGTTGGGCTTGGCCCCCTAGTTCCAGTGAAGGGAACTCTTAAGGTGACATTTTGGCCAATTTCATGCCCCCAACTTTGTGGGAAGAGTTTGTGGATGGCCCCTTCCTGTTCCAACATGACTGCCCACCAGTGCACAAAGCAAGGTCCATAAAGACATGGAGGAGCCAGTTTGGGGTGGAGGAACTTGACTGTCCTGCACAGAGTCCTGACCTCAACCCCATAGAACACCTTTGGGATGAATTAGAGTGGAGACTGCGAGCCAGGCCTCCTCCCCCGACATCAGTGCCTGACCTGACAAATGTGCTTCTGGAAGATGGTCCAACCTTCCCATAGACACCCTCCTAAACCTTGTGGACGGCCTTCCCAGAAGAGTTGAAGCTGTTATAGCTGCAAAGGGCGGGGCCAACTCAATATTGAACCCTACGGACTAAGACTGGGAGGCCATTAAAGGTCATGTGTGTGGAAAGGGCGGGGCCAACTCAATATTGAACCCTACGGACTAAGACTGGGGGACCATTAAAGGTCATGTGTGTTTGAAGGGTGGGGCCAACTCAATATTGAACCCTACGGACTAAGACTGGGGGGCCATTACAGGTCATGTGTGTGGAAAGGGCGGGGCCAACTCAATATTGAACCCTACGGACTAAGACTGGGAGGCCATTATAGGTCATGTGTGTGGGAAGGGCGGGGCCAACTCAATATTGAACCCTACGGACTAAGACTGGGGGCCATTACAGGTCATGTGTGTGGGAAGGGCGGGGCCAACTCAATATTGAACCCTACGGACTAAGACTGGGAGGCCATTAAAGGTCATGTGTGTGGAAAGGCCGGGGCCCAATACTTTGGCAATATAGTATATTATTATTACATGGAGTTTATATAGCGCCAAAGGGTTTGCTCAGCGCTGTACAATAGAGGGGGGACAATACATAAAACATTACAGTAACAACAAACAGCACACGAGGGGTTAGAGGGCCCTACTCTTTCGAGCTTACAATCTAGGAGGGAGGGGGGGTAGAGGTACAGGAGGAAATGGCTGTGGATGATGGAGTGGTAGGAGGAGGGAAGGGCAGCGGCTGTTAGGTGAGGAGGGAAGGTGACAGTCTGATGGATTGGGGTAGTGAGTTCCAGAGGATGGGGGAGGACCTGGAGAAGTCTTGAAGTCGTGCGTGGGAGGAGGAGACCAGGGAGCAAGATAGAAGGAGGTCCTGTGAGGAGCGAAGGGTACGGGTAGGGTGGTACCTGGGAATCAGGTTGGTGAGGTAGTTAGGGGCAGTGTTGTGAACGGCCTTATAGGTCAGAGTGAGCAGTTTGAATTTAATGCGTTGGGCAATCGGGAGCCAGTGGAGGGAGAGGCAGAGGGGGGTGGCAGAGGTGGAGGCATAGGCAGAGGGGGGTGGGAGCCAGTGGTGGGATAGGCAGAGGGGGGTGGAGCCAGTGGAGGGATAGGCAGAGGGGGGGGTGGCAGAGGTGGAGGCATAGGCAGAGGGGGGTGGAGCCAGTGGTGGGATAGGCAGAGGGGGGTGGAGCCAGTGGAGGGATAGGCAGAGGAGGGTGGAGCCAGTGGAGGGATAGGCAGAGGAGGGTGGAGCCAGTGGAGGGATAGGCAGAGGGGGTGGAGCCAGTGGAGGGAGAGGCAGAGGGGGGTGGCAGAGGTGGAGGCATAGGCAGAGGGGGGTGGAGCCAGTGGTGGGATAGGCAGAGAAGGGTGGAGCCAGTGGAGGGATAGGCAGAGGAGGGTGGAGCCAGTGGAGGGATAGGGAGAGGAGGGTGGAGCCAGTGGAGGGATAGGCAGAGGGGGGTGGAGCCAGTGGAGGGATAGGCAGAGGGGGGTGGCAGAGGTGGAGGCATAGGCAGAGGGGGGTGGAGCCAGTGGAGGCATAGGCAGAGGGGGGTGGAGCCAGTGGTGGGATAGGCAGAGGGGGGTGGAGCCAGTGGAGGGATAGGCAGAGGAGGGTGGAGCCAGTGGAGGGATAGGCAGAGGGGGGTGGAGCCAGTGGAGGGAGAGGCAGAGGGGGGTGGCAGAGGTGAAGGCATAGGCAGAGGGGGGTGGAGCCAGTGGAGGGATAGGCAGAGGGGGGTGGAGCCAGTGGTGGGATAGGCAGAGGGGGGTGGAGCCAGTGGAGGGAGAGGCAGAGGGGGGTGGAGCCAGTGGAGGGATAGGCAGAGGGGGGTGGAGCCAGTGGAGGGATAGGCAGAGGGGGGTGGAGCCAGTGGAGGGATAGGCAGAGGGGGGTGGAGCCAGTGGAGGGAGAGGCAGAGGGGGGTGGAGCCAGTGGAGGGATAGGCAGAGGGGGGTGGAGCCAGTGGAGGGATAGGCAGAGGGGGGTGGAGCCAGTGGAGGGAGAGGCAGAGGGGGGTGGAGCCAGTGGAGGGATAGGCAGAGGGGGTGGAGCCAGTGGAGGGAGAGGCAGAGGGGGGTGGAGCCAGTGGAGGGAGAGGCAGAGGGGGGTGGAGCCAGTGGAGGGATAGGCAGAGGGGGGTGGAGCCAGTGGAGGGATTGGCAGAGGGGGGTGGCAGAGGTGGAGCGGGTGGTGAGGTGGATGAGTCTGGCCGCTGAGTTCAGGATGGTCTGGAGCGGGGATTGTCTGCACTGGGGTAGGCCGGTGAGGAGGGAGTTGTAGTAGTCCAGGCGTGGGATGAGGAGGGAGTTGCAGTAGTCCAGGCGTGGGATGATGAGGAGTGTAGTATATATCCAACTACACAGAATATAATGTACATTGTAACTGTTTCCTATGATATTTAGATGCTGTTATTCCTCATGATTATTCTATAGGAGAAAGAGGTTGTCCACAGCCCCCCCTGACCCCCAGCCTGTGTTATGTAGATGGAGGGCCCATCCTGGCACATCCGGCCTGTTCTGAGATATGACCGATCAATCTGTATCACCCCAATATCTGACCCGGTGTATGATAGGACAGTCAGTGTGATATCACCCCAATATCTGACCCAGTGTATGATAGGACAATCAATGTGATATCACCCCAATATCTGACCCGGTGTATGATAGGACAGTCAGTGTGATATCACCCCAATATCTGACCGGGTGTATGATAGGACAATCAATGTGATATCACCCCAATATCTGACCCGGTGTATGATAGGACAGTCAGTGTGATATCACCCCAATATCTGACCCAGTGTATGATAGGACAGTCAGTGTGATATCACCCCAATATCTGACCCGGTGTATGATAGGACAGTCAGTGTGATATCACCCCAATATCTGACCGGGTGTATGATAGGACAATCAATGTGATATCACCCCAATATCTGACCGGGTGTATGATAGGACAATCAATGTGATATCACCCCAATATCTGACCCGGTGTATGATAGGACAATCAATGTGATATCACCCCAATATCTGACCGGGTGTATGATAGGACAATCAATGTGATATCACCCCAATATCTGACCGGGTGTATGATAGGACAATCAATGTGATATCACCCCAATATCTGACCCGGTGTATGATAGGACAGTCAGTGTGATATCACCCCGGAATCTGACCCAGTGTATGATAGGACAATCAATGTGATATCACCCCAATATCTGACCGGGTGTATGATAGGACAGTCAGTGTGATATCACCCCAATATCTGACCCGGTGTATGATAGGACAGTCAGTGTGATATCACCCCAATATCTGACCCAGTGTATGATAGGACAGTCAGTGTGATATCACCCCAATATCTGACCCGGTGTATGATAGGACAGTCAGTGTGATATCACCCCAATATCTGACCCGGTGTATGATAGGACAGTCAATGTGATATCACCCCAATATCTGACCCGGTGTATGATAGGACAATCAATGTGATATCACCCCAATATCTGACCCGGTGTATGATAGGACAATCAATGTGATACCACCCCAATATCTGACCCGGTGTATGATAGGACAGTCAATGTGATATCACCCCAATATCTGACCGGGTGTATGATAGGACAATCAATGTGATATCACCCCAATATCTGACCGGGTGTATGATAGGACAGTCAATGAGATATCACCCCGGAATCTGACCCGGTGTATGATAGGACAATCAATGTGATATCACCCCAATATCTGACCCGGTGTATGATAGGACAATCAATGTGATATCACCCCAATATCTGACCCGGTGTATGATAGGACAATCAATGTGATATCACCCCAATATCTGACCCGGTGTATGATAGGACAGTCAATGTGATATCACCCCAATATCTGACCGGGTGTATGATAGGACAGTCAATGAGATATCACCCCGGAATCTGACCCGGTGTATGATAGGACAATCAATGTGATATCACCCCAATATCTGACCCGGTGTATGATAGGACAATCAATGTGATATCACCCCAATATCTGACCCGGTGTATGATAGGACAATCAATGTGATATCACCCCAATATCTGACCCGGTGTATGATAGGACAGTCAATGTGATATCACCCCAATATCTGACCCGGTGTATGATAGGACAGTCAATGAGATATCACCCCGGAATCTGACCCGGTGTATGATAGGACAGTCAATGTGATATCACCCCAATATCTGACCCGGTGTATGATAGGACAATCAATGTGATATCACCCCAATATCTGACCCGGTGTATGATAGGACAATCAATGTGATACCACCCCAATATCTGACCCGGTGTATGATAGGACAGTCAATGTGATATCACCCCAATATCTGACCGGGTGTATGATAGGACAATCAATGTGATATCACCCCAATATCTGACCGGGTGTATGATAGGACAGTCAATGAGATATCACCCCGGAATCTGACCCGGTGTATGATAGGACAATCAATGTGATATCACCCCAATATCTGACCCGGTGTATGATAGGACAATCAATGTGATATCACCCCAATATCTGACCCGGTGTATGATAGGACAATCAATGTGATATCACCCCAATATCTGACCCGGTGTATGATAGGACAGTCAATGTGATATCACCCCAATATCTGACCCGGTGTATGATAGGACAGTCAATGAGATATCACCCCGGAATCTGACCCGGTGTATGATAGGACAGTCAATGAGATATCACCCCGGAATCTGACCCATCTCTCCTCTCCCAGAATGAGGAAAATGACAATCACCTGGGCAGCAGAGTCTACTTCCCCAGCACCAGCCAGGGCCTGGGCAGCATCGACCTCATGTACTTTCCCTACTATGGAAACCGGGCTCAGGTAAGAACCCCTCCATGAGGGAGAATTCAACAACCAATCAGATGTTGTGTTCTGCCATCATTCTCCAATCACTCTCTCCACCAATCTCACTTTTCTTGGACTTTTCTCCCAAACAGAAAAAACTACACCCAGCCCTTCGTGGCGGTGAAATTCCTGAATGCGACACACAACATGGACCATAACGTGGAATGCCGCATAAACGCCGCCAACATCAAAAATCAGGATGAGCGGGACAAATTCCAGGGACGGGTGATCTTCAGGCTGAGGATCGACTCTTGAAGACACAACTTGGTGAAGATTGTCTTCCATACCTTTTCATCTACTCCAACATAGACTGACAGAGCCAGGAACGGGCTTGTAGTCATAGGATATCACTGCCTCCTCCCACCCTGCTCATACATCTGTCACCATGGATGGACTGCCACACCGGGCTGGGGGAGTAATGACTAGAAGGAAATGATTGCAGCACCATGTAGACTTATATCCCATCTTGAAACTGCCACACAAATGCCACTTTGTCCACCAAGGAGTGTTCAGACGACATTCCACATCCCCACCAAGTGGCATACAGTCAGTTGCTATTGCCCCCATCTAGGAGCATCCAATTAACTGCTGCTGTCTCTACCAAAGAGCATCCAGTCAACTGCTACTGCTCCTGCCTAGGAGTGTTCAGGCAACTTCCACTGCCCCCTCCAAGGACTATTAAAAAAACTGCCACCATCCCCACCAAAGAGCATCCAATTAACTTCCACCATCCCCATAAAAAGGCGTCCAAACAACTGCTATTGTCCCCATCTAAGGGAGCCTAATAAACAGTCACCATTCCCCCCAAAGGTTATCCAAACTGCTGACACCTTCCTCACTAAAGGGCATGCAATAAACTGCCACCACCCCCACCAAAGGTTGTCCAAGCAACTGCCACCATCCCCACCAAAGGGCATCCAATTAACTTCCACCATCCCCATCAAAGGCATCCAAACAACTGCCACCATCCCCACTAAAGGGTGTCCAGTAAACTCCTATTGTCTTCACCTAAGGTTGCTAAGTCAACTGCCACCATCCCCACCACATGGCATTCAATTAACTGCCATCATCCCCACCAAAGGGATTCCAATTAACGTCCACCATCCCCATCAAAAGGCATCCAAACAACTGCTAATTTCCCCATCTAAGGGTGCCCAATAAACAGTCACCATTCCCACCAAAGGTTGTCCAAACTACTGACACCATCCTCACCAACGGGCATTCAATAAACTGCCATCATCCCCAGAAAAGGTTGTCCAAAAAACTGTCACTATCCCCACTAAAGGGCATTCAATTAACTGACACCATCCCACCAAAGAGCATCCAATTAACTTCCACCATCCCCATAAAAGGGCATCCAAACAACTGCCACCATCCCATTAAAGGGTGTCCAATAAACTCCTATTGTCTTCACCTAAGGTTGCTTAGTCAACTGCCACCATCCCCACCAAAAGTCATTCAATTAACTGCCATCATCCCCACCAAAAGTCATTCAATTAACTGCCATCATCCCCACCAAAAGGGATTCCAATTAACTTCCATCATCCCCACCAAAAGGGATTCCAATTAACTTCCACCATCCCCATCAAAAGTCATCCAAACAACTGCTATTGTCCCCATCTAAGGGAGACCAATAAACAGTCACCATTCCCACCAAAGGTTGTCCAAACTACTGACACCATCCTCACCAAAGGGCATGCAATAAACTGCCACCACCCCCACCAAAGGTTGTCCAAGCAACTCTCACCCTCCCCACCAAAGGGCATCCAGTTAACTTCCACAATCCCCATCAAAAGGCATCCAAACAACTGTCACCATCCCCACCAAAGGGCAGTAAACTCCTATTGTCTTCACCTAAGGTTGCTCAGTCAACTGCCACCATCCCCACCAAAGGGCATTCAATTAACTGCCATAATCCCCACCAAAGGGATTCCAACTAACTTCCACCATCCCCATCAAAAGGCATCCAAACAACTGCTATTGTCCCCATCTAAGGGTGCCCAATAAACAGAAACCATTCCCACCAAAGGATGTCCAAGAAATTGACACCATCCTCACCAACGGGCATTCAATTAACTTCCACCCTCCCCATAAAAGGTTGTCCAAAAAACTGTCACCATCCCCACCAAAGGGCATCCAATTAACTTCCACCATCCCCACCAAAGGGCATCCAATTAACTTCCACCATCCCCATTAAAGGGTGTCCAATAAACTCCTATTGTCTTCACCTACGTTGCTTAGTCAACTGCCACCATTCCCACCAAAGGTCATTCAATTAACTGCCATCATCCCCACTAAAGGGATTCCAATTAACTTCCACCATCCCCATCAAAAGGCGTCCAAATAACTGCTACTGTCGCCATCTAAGGGAGACCAATAAACAGTCACCATTCCCACCAAAGGTTGTCCAAACTACTGACACCATCCTCACCAAAGGGCATGCAATAAACTGCCACCACCCCCACCCCCACCAAAGGTTGTCCAAACAACTGTCACCATCCCCACCAAAGGGCATCCAATTAACTTCCACCATCCCCATCAAAAGGCATCCAAACAACTGCCACCATCCCCACTAAAGGGTGTCCAGTAAACTCCTATTGTCTTCACCTAAAGTTGCTCAGTCAACTGCCACCATCCCCACCAAAGGGCATCTAGTTAACTGCCACCATCCCCACTAAACGGTGTCTAATAAACTCCTAATGTCTTCACCTACGATTGTCCAACCAACTGCTATTGTCTCCATCTAAGGTTGCCCAGTAAAGAGACACCATTCCCACCAAAGGTTGTCCAAACAACTGCCACCATCCTCACCAAAGTGCATCCAATAAACTGCCATCATCCCCTCCAAAGGGCTTCCAATAAACTGCCATTGTCCCCACTAAAAGGTGTCCAATCAACAGTTATTGTCTCCATCTAAGGGTGCCCAATATACTGCCACCATCCCCAGCAAAGGGTGTCCAATAAACTGCCACCATCCCCATGAAAGACTGTCCAAACAACTACTACCATCTCCACTAAAGAGCATCCAATAAACTACAACTGTCATTGTCAAGGAGTGTCAAGACAACTGCCACTGCCCCCTCCAAAAGGCATCCAATTACAATTAGCTGCCTCTATTCCTGCCTAAGGCCGTCCAGTCAAAGACCACCATCCCCGGAAATGATCAGCCAATGAATTGATGGCCTTTCAGGAAACATGCTGAAGTGTTCAAGATTAGAAATCTTCCCCCAATTTCTGTACACCCCCCGTCCACGCACTGCCACACACAGCACCTCGTCCACGCACTGACACTCACACTGCACCTCGCCCACGCACTGCCACACACAGCACCTCGTCCACGCACTGACACTCACACTGCACCTCGCCCACGCACTGCCACACACAGCACCTCGTCACGCACTGCCACAAACACAGCACCTCGTCCACGCACTGACACTCACACTGCACCTCGCCCACGCACTGCCACACAAACAGCACCTCGTCCACGCACTGCCACACACAGCACCTCGTCCATGCACTGACACTCACACTGCACCTCGCCCACGCACTGCCACACACAGCACCTCGTCCACGCACTGCCACAAACACAGCACCTCGTCCACGCACTGACACTCACACTGCACCTCGCCCCACGCACTGCCACACAAACAGCACCTCGTCCACGCACTGCCACACACAGCACCTCGTCCACGCACTGACACACACACAGCACCTCGTCCACGCACTGACACTCACACTGCACCTCGCCCACTCACTGCCACACACAGCACGACATTTTCCCACTGACCCCCCAATGTAAGGGACATTCTTCCCACTGATCACCAATGTAAGGGACAGGACATTCTTCCCACTGACCCCCAATGTAAGGGACATTCTTCCCACTGACCCCCAATGTAAGGGACATTCCCACTGACCACCAATGTAAGGGACATTCTTCCCACTGACCCCCAATGTAAGGGACATTCTTCCCACTGACCCCCAATGTAAGGGACATTCTTCCCACTGACCCCCAATGTAAGGGACATTCTTCCCACTGACCCCCAATGTAAGGGACATTCTTCCCACTGACCCCAATGTAAGGGACATTCTTCCCACTGACCCCCCAATGTAAGGGACATTCTTCCCACTGACCCCCCAATGTAAGGGACATTCTTCCCACTGACCCCCAATGTAAGGGACATTCTTCCCACTGACCCCAATGTAAGGGACATTCTTCCCACTGACCCCCAATGTAAGGGACATTCTTCCCACTGACCCCCAATGTAGGGACATTCTTTCCCACTGACCCCCAATGTAAGGGACATTCTTCCCACTGACCCCCAATGTAAGGGACATTCTTCCCACTGACCCCCAATGTAAGGGACATTCTTCCCACTGACCCCCAATGTAAGGGACATTCTTCCCACTGACCCCCAATGTAAGGGACATTCTTCCACTGACCCCAATGTAAGGGACATTCTTCCCACTGACCCCCAATGTAAGGGACATTCTTCCCTGACCCCCAATGTAAGGGACATTCTTCCCACTGACCCCCAATGTAAGGGACATTCTTCCCACTGACCCCCAATGTAAGGGACATTCTTCCCACTGACCCCCAATGTAAGGGACATTCTTCCCACTGACCCCCAATGTAAGGGACATTCTTCCCACTGACCCCCAATGTAAGGGACATTCTTCCCACTGACCCCAATGTAAGGGACATTCTTCCCCACTGACCCCCAATGTAAGGGACATTCTTCCCACTGACCCCCAATGTAAGGGACATTCTTCCCACTGACCCCCATGTAAGGGACATTCTTCCCACTGACCCCCAATGTAAGGGACATTCTTCCCACTGACCCCCAATGTAAGGGACATTCTTCCCACTGACCCCCAATGTAAGGGACATTCTTCCCACTGACCCCAATGTAAGGGACATTCTTCCCACTGACCCCCAATGTAAGGGACATTCTTCCCACTGACCCCCAATGTAAGGGACATTCTTCCCACTGACCCCCAATGTAAGGGACATTCTTCCCACTGACCCCCAATGTAAGGGACATTCTTCCCACTGACCCCCAATGTAAGGGACATTCTTCCCACTGACCCCCCAATGTAAGGGACATTCTTCCCACTGACCCCCAATGTAAGGGACATTCTTCCCACTGACCCCCAATGTAAGGGACATTCTTCCCACTGACCCCCAATGTAAGGGACATTCTTCCCACTGACCCCCAATGTAAGGGACATTCTTCCCACTGACCCCCAATGTAAGGGACATTCTTCCCCCACTGACCCCCAATGTAAGGGACATTCTTCCCACTGACCCCAATGTAAGGGACATTCTTCCCACTGACCCCCAATGTAAGGGACATTCTTCCCACTGACCCCCAATGTAAGGGACATTCTTCCCACTGACCCCCCAATGTAAGGGACATTTCTTCCCACTGACCCCCAATGTAAGGGACATTCTTCCCACTGACCCCCAATGTAAGGGACATTCTTCCCACTGACCCCCAATGTAAGGGACATTCTTCCCACTGACCCCCAATGTAAGGGACATTCTTCCCACTGACCCCCAATGTAAGGGACATTCTTCCCACTGACCCCCAATGTAAGGGACATTCTTCCCACCCCCCCCCAATGTAAGGGACATTCTTCCCACTGACCCCCAATGTAAGGGACATTCTTCCCACTGACCCCCAATGTAAGGGACATTCTTCCCACTGACCCCCAATGTAAGGGACATTCTTCCCACTGACCCCCAATGTAAGGGACATTCTTCCCACTGACCCCAATGTAAGGGACATTCTTCCCACTGACCCCCAATGTAAGGGACATTCTTCCCACTGACCCCCAATGTAAGGGACATTCTTCCCACTGACCCCCAATGTAAGGGACATTCTTCCCACTGACCCCCAATGTAAGGGACATTCTTCCCACTGACCCCCAATGTAAGGGACATTCTTCCCACTGACCCCAATGTAAGGGACATTCTTCCCACTGACCCCCAATGTAAGGGACATTCTTCCCACTGACCCCCAATGTAAGGGACATTCTTCCCACTGACCCCCAATGTAAGGGACATTCTTCCCACTGACCCCCAATGTAAGGGACATTCTTCCCACTGACCCCCAATGTAAGGGACATTCTTCCCACTGACCCCCAATGTAAGGGACATTCTTCCCACTGACATTCTTCCCCCCAATGTAAGGGACATTCTTCCCACTGACCCCCAATGTAAGGGACATTCTTCCCACTGACCCCCAATGTAAGGGACATTCTTCCCACTGACCCCCAATGTAAGGGACATTCTTCCCACTGACCCCCAATGTAAGGGACATTCTTCCCACTGACCCCCCAATGTAAGGGACATTCTTCCCACTGACCCCAATGTAAGGGACATTCTTCCCTGACCCCCAATGTAAGGGACATTCTTCCCACTGACCCCCAATGTAAGGGACATTCTTCCCACTGACCCCCAATGTAAGGGACATTTCCCACTGACCCCCAATGTAAGGGACATTTCTTCCACTGACCCCCAATGTAAGGGACATTCTTCCCACTGACCCCCAATGTAAGGGACATTCTTCCCACTGACCCCCAATGTAAGGGACATTCTTCCCACTGACCCCCCCAATGTAAAGGGACATTCTTCTTCCCACTGACCCCCAATGTAAGGGACATTCTTCCCACTGACCCCCAATGTAAGGGACATTCTTCCCACTGACCCCCAATGTAAGGGACATTCTTCCCACTGACCCCCAATGTAAGGGACATTCTTCCCACTGACCCCCAATGTAAGGGACATTCTTCCCACTGACCCCAATGTAAGGGACATTCTTCCCACTGACCCCCAATGTAAGGGACATTCTTCCCACTGACCCCCAATGTAATGTAAGGGACATTCTTCCCACTGACCCCCAATGTAAGGGACATTCTTCCCACTGACCCCAATGTAAGGGACATTCTTCCCACTGACATTCTTCCCCCCAATGTAAGGGACATTCTTCCCACTGACCCCCAATGTAAGGGACATTCTTCCCACTGACCCCCAATGTAAGGGACATTCTTCCCACTGACCCCCAATGTAAGGGACATTCTTCCCACTGACCCCCAATGTAAGGGACATTCTTCCCACTGACCCCCAATGTAAGGGACATTCTTCCCACTGACCCCCCAATGTAAGGGACATTCTTCCACTGACCCCCAATGTAAGGGACATTCTTCCCACTGACCCCCAATGTAAGGGACATTCTTCCCACTGACCCCCAATGTAAGGGACATTCTTCCCACTGACCCCCAATGTAAGGGACATTCTTCCCACTGACCCCCAATGTAAGGGACATTCTTCCCACTGACCCCCAATGTAAGGGACATTCTTCCCACTGACCCCCAATGTAAGGGACATTCTTCTGACCCCCTGACCTTCCCCCCAATGTAAGGGACATTCTTCCCACTGACCCCCAATGTAAGGGACATTCTTCCCACTGACCCCCAATGTAAGGGACATTCTTCCCACTGACTGACCCCCAATGTAAGGGACATTCTTCCCACTGACCCCCAATGTAAGGGACATTCTTCCCACTGACCCCCAATGTAAGGGGACATTCTTCCCACTGACCCCCAATGTAAGGGACATTCTTCCCACTGACCCCCAATGTAAGGGACATTCTCCCACTGACCCCAATGTAAGGGACATTCTTCCCACTGACCCCCAATGTAAGGGACATTCTTCCCACTGACCCCAATGTAAGGGACATTCTTCCCACTGACCCCCCAATGTAAGGGACATTCTTCCCACTGACCCCCAATGTAAGGGACATTCTTCCCACTGACCCCCAATGTAAGGGACATTCTTCCCACTGACCCCCAATGTAAGGGACATTCTTCCCACTGACCCCCAATGTAAGGGACATTCTTCCCACTGACCCCCAATGTAAGGGACATTCTTCCCACTGACCCCCAATGTAAGGGACATTCTTCCCACTGACCCCCAATGTAAGGGACATTCTTCCCACTGACCCCCAATGTAAGGGACATTCTTCCCACTGACCCCAATGTAAGGGACATTCTTCCCCACTGACCCCAATGTAAGGGACATTCTTCCCACTGACCCCCAATGTAAGGGACATTCTTCCCACTGACCCCCAATGTAAGGGACATTCTTCCCACTGACCCCCAATGTAAGGGACATTCTTCCCACTGACCCCCAATGTAAGGGACATTCTTCCCACTGACCCCCCAATGTAAGGGACATTCTTCCCACTGACCCCCAATGTAAGGGACATTCTTCCCACTGACCCCCAATGTAAGGGACATTCTTCCCACTGACCCAATGTAAGGGGACATTCTTCCCACTGACCCCAATGTAAGGGACATTCTTCCCCACTGACCCCCAATGTAAGGGACATTCTTCCCACTGACCCCCAATGTAAGGGACATTCATTCTTCCCACTGACCACCCCCAATGTAAGGGACATTCTTCCCACTGACCACCAATGTAAGGGACATTCTTCCCACTGACCCCCAATGTAAGGGACATTCTTTCCCATGTGACATTCTTCCCACTGACCCCCAATGTAAGGGACATTCTTCCCACTGACCCCCAATGTAAGGGACATTTTCCCACTGACCCCCAATGTAAGGGACATTCTTCCCACTGACCCCCAATGTAAGGGACATTCTTCCCACTGACCCCCAATGTAAGGGACATTCTTCCCACTGACCCCCAATGTAAGGGACATTCTTCCCACTGACCCCCAATGTAAGGGACATTCTTCCCACTGACCCCCAATGTAAGGGACATTCTTCCCACTGACCCCCAATGTAAGGGACATTCTTCCACTGACCCCCAATGTAAGGGACATTCTTCCCACTGACCCCCAATGTAAGGGACATTCTTCCACTGACCCCCAATGTAAGGGACATTCTTCCCACTGACCCCCAATGTAAGGGACATTCTTCCCACTGACCCCCAATGTAAGGGACATTCTTCCCACTGACCCCCAATGTAAGGGACATTCTTCCCACTGACCCCCCAATGTAAGGGACACATTCTTCCCACTGACCCCCAATGTAAGGGACATTCTTCCCACTGACCCCCAATGTAAGGGACATTCTTCCCACTGACCCCCAATGTAAGGGACATTCTTCCCACTGACCCCCAATGTAAGGGACATTCTTCCCACTGACCCCAATGTAAGGGACATTCTTCCCACTGACCCCCAATGTAAGGGACATTCTTCCCACTGACCCCCAATGTAAGGGACATTCTTCCCACTGACCCCCAATGTAAGGGACATTCTTCCCACTGACCCCCAATGTAAGGGACATTCTTCCCACTGACCCCCAATGTAAGGGACATTCTTCCCACTGACCCCCCCAATGTAAGGGACATTCTTCTGACCCCCCAATGTAAGGGACATTCCCCAGTGTTGGGGACACCGTCTTCCTTTCTTTCCTCCATTGTTGTCACTGATGATCTCGGGTTGTCGGACTCGTTATTCTTCTATCTCATGGTCTGTCCCCTGATCTGTAGATATAATAGCCATTGTTGGAGGTTCCTCCAGGTAAGGGTTGGGTAGGTGTCTGTAGTGAATGGGTAGGATGAGTGTGGGGGTGGGGGGTCTCAGGCACAGCGAGGGTTAATCCTCCCTCCCGAGGACCTCCAGCACACGGTTTTGGTATTAGTGCTCTGGATTAGTCCCGGATTAGTGTCACCGTCTGCCACGCCGGCAGATGACACAATCGAGTGGGATGATAACGGGGTGACCACCTGCCCATCTATTAATGTGCAGATGTGGGGGGAGGGGGGGTACACGGGATGGCATGAACACAAATGTATATAGAATTGAGGGTCCCAACCAATGGCAGAGCGTCACCTGCAGGCCATATGAAGTATGAACCTGCTCAGCTGAAAATGTAGACAATAGAAGGAAGTTGTCCGTGATTTTTGTCACAGGAAGGGGCCATGGGGGGATTTTGGGGGTACAGGGAGGAGGGAGGCGGCCAGATGCATGAGGTATCTCTGCCTATGGTGCCTTCTCAGAAATCAACCAGCAAGCTGGGAGATTGTCGCCGGAACCCCAAGTTGTCCACTTACTTCGCAGGACTCATTATACCACAAAATTGTCAGACAACTAGCTGACCAAGGTGAGGACCATGAATGGTGGAGGAGGGAGTGACGGGAGACTCAGACTGAGCAAGGAAGAGAAACACTTCTCACAGCCAATACCTGAGGACACCAGCAGAGGGAGACTCCACCCAAATATCTGAGGACACCACTACAGGGAGACTCCACCCAAATACCTGAGGACACCAGCAGAGGGAGACTCCACCCAAATACCTGAGGACACCAGCAGAGGGAGACTCCACCCAAATAACCGAGGACACCAGCAGAGGGAGACTCCACCCAAATACCTGAGGACACCACTAGAGGGAGACTCCACCCAAATACCTGAGGACACCAATAGAGGGAGAATCCACCCAAATAACCGAGGACACCAGCAGAGGGAGACTCCACCCAAATACCTGAGGACACCACTAGAGGGAGACTCCACCCAAATACCTGAGGACACCAATAGAGGGAGAATCCACCCAAATACCTGAGGACACCAGCAGAGGGAGACTCCACCCAAATACCTGAGGACACCAGCAGAGGGAGACTCCACCCAAATACCTGAGGACACCAGCAGAGGGAGACTCCACCCAAATACCTGAGGACACCAATAGAGGGAGACTCCACCCAAATAACCGAGGACACCACTAGAGGAAGACTTCACCCAAATACCTGAGGACACCAATAGAGGGAGAATCCACCCAAATACCTGAGGACACCAATAGAGGGAGAATCCACCCAAATACCTGAGGACACCAATAGAGGGAGAATCCACCCAAATACCTGAGGACAGCAGCAGAGGGAGACTCCACCCAAATACCTGAGGACACCAGCAGAGGGAGACTCCACCCAAATACCTGAGGACACCAATAGAGGAAGAATCCACCCAAATACCTGAGGACACCAGCAGAGGGAGACTCCACCCAAATACCTGAGGACACCACTAGAGGAAGACTTCACCCAAATACCTGAGGACACCAATAGAGGGAGAATCCACCCAAATACCTGAGGACACCACTAGAGGGAGACTCCTCCCAAATACCTGAGGACACCAGCAGAGGGAGACTCCACCCAAATACCTGAGGACACCACTAGAGGGAGACTCCACCCAAATACCTGAGGACACCACTAGAGGAAGACTTCACCCAAATACCTGAGGACACCAATAGAGGGAGAATCCACCCAAATACCTGAGGACACCACTAGAGGGAGACTCCTCCCAAATACCTGAGGACACCAGCAGAGGGAGACTCCACCCAAATACCTGAGGACACCACTAGAGGGAGACTCCACCCAAATACCTGAGGACACCACTAGAGGGAGACTCCACCCAAATACCTTGTCAGGGCCTGGGTTTGAACCTGGGTCTTCTGGGGTGAGTGGGTAAATGTTTCTTCTCACTGAGCCACCTGGAATGCTGGACAGTTCCTTTGACAATTATTTGTATGATCCCGCCTTGACCTTGTTTATCATGAACCTTGAACTCCTGGCTCCTCCCATGAACTTCCTGATATAAGCCATGTCTCTGCACTTCCTGGCTGCCAGATTATTGTGCTCTCCAGCCAATATCCCGCTTACTGTTCCTGCTGCCGTCTACATCTTCGCTACCAACCTTTGGCTTGTTCCTGGACTATGATTCTGCCTCATCCTCATCTACTACCATTGGTGACCGACCCTTGGCTTGTTGACTGACTCCGATTCTGCTTGATCCCTAACCTGCTCGATCTGCTATTGGTTTCCGGCTTGCTCCATTCCCTGGTGGGTGAGCCTGAGATCTGTGACCTGGTACTAACATGCAGCCAAATCCATCTCCACCATTAGGAGCTCTGGGAAGACCGGTGGTTGCTTAGACCCCGCACCTCAGGTGAGCCTGCGTCATTCCCAGGGTGGACCGCTGGTGTACCTATCCTGCTGTTTCAGGTACTGTAAGCCTTACACTGCTGTAGCAACTGGTCTCTGAACCTGAACCTGAACCTGACCGTGACAGGATAATCTGGCCCAAACATGGAGGCCGCTATGGCAAGCGTTGTGGCTCCTCTTAGGCAGCAAATTGCTGAGCTGCAGGAATTCGGGGTGACCCATCAAGAAAAAGTTGCCAAACTGGAAAGCATTGTGGATAGGCAACAGGGAGAGATTCAGGCTCTGCAGAGACAACGGCTGAACCGAGATGATACCAACCCACATATGCCCCAACCATCTAAGTGTAATGGAGACCGCCATCACTACAGGGGTTTCCTTAATCAATGTTGTGTATATTTCCAGATGTACCCTCCTGTGTTACCTTCAGAGAGAGAGAAGGTCATGTTTATTATTGGGCTTCTGACTGGGGAAGCTCTAGCTTGGACCTCCCCTTATATAGAGCAAAACCATGGCATTCTGAATGATTTTGATACCTTTTTGACCGCAATGAATCAGGTTCTTGATGATCCCAACCGTTGGGCTACTGCTGAAGCAAAGTTGCATAGTCTGCGGCAGGGTAGACGCTCGGTCACTGAATACACAGCCGAGTTCAGAGGTTGGATCTCAGATACCACTTGGAACCCTGCAGCACAAAAGAGCCAGTTCCACCAAGGGCTTTCTGAACAGGTAAAGGATGAGCTTGCCAGAGTAGATACTCCTAATGATCTTGAGGAATTCATCCAATTGTGTATCCGAATCGATCAAAGACTTACGGAAAGGAGGAAGGAGAGGTTGGGAATGTTTGGAGGTAATAGGGGCATCTCTCTGCTAGTCCATTTGTTCAGCAGGATTCAAGAGTCTCTCTGGGTTCTAACACTCCTGAGCCTATGCAGGTTGATGCAATCAAGAGATCCATCTCCATCCAGGAGAGAGAAGACGTTCAGAGAACTTGTGTCTATATTGTGGGGATTCTGGTCATTATGCAATTAATTGTCCTAACAAGGTCAGAAGAACAATTGCTGTGACTGATGTGATTGGCCGGAACACATAAACTCCATAAGCCAGTCTGTCTCCCCGCTGATCCCTGAAGAGAATAAAGTGAACTCTCTGCTCTCTCATTTTGTTATCCCCATTAAACTTGTATCTGAGGGCCGTGAAATCTCCTGCTCAGCTATGCTGGACTCCGGGGGGAGGGGGGGGAACTTTATGGATATAGAGTTTGCCCACAACAATAATATTCAAGCCAGAGACACATTTCCCCTATTTATATGGAGACGGTTGATGGGTCACCCTTATCTTCAGGACCTGTTACCCATAAACCGGTTCTCCTGGTTCTGCTGTTTGAGGCTGACCATTGTGAGACCATCAGCTTTCAGCTGGTTACATCACCCAAGTTTCCCATCATCCTGGGCATTCCTTGGTTCTCCACTCACAATCCTTCCATCAACTGGGGAGCACGGACTATAGATTTTTTACGTTCCCCCCCCCCCCCCACTGTGAAAACATTGCAAAAAACCTTTCCGACCAACTCCGTCACCGACCAAGGAAGCGCAAGGTGATATAGTGGCTACCCAGTTATATGACAACTTGCCCCCACATTACCATGAGTTCCGGGATGTCTGTGACAAGAAGAATGCCGATCTATTACCCCCTCATCGCCCGTATGATTGCCCCGTTGAGCTGCTCCCAGGGGCAGACTCCACCCAAAAACCCGAGGACACCAGCAGAGGGAGACTCCACCCAAATACCTGAGGACACCAGCAGAGGGAGACTCCACCCAAAAACCCGAGGACACCAGCAGAGGGAGACTCCACCCAAATACCTGAGGACACCAGCAGAGGGAGACTCCACCCAAAAACCCGAGGACACCAGCAGAGGGAGACTCCACCCAAATACCTGAGGACACCACTAGAGGGAGACTCCACCCAAATACCTGAGGACACCACTAGAGGGAGACTCCACCCAAATACCTGAGGACACCACTAGAGGGAGACTCCACCCAAATACCTGAGGACACCACTAGAGAGAGACTCCACCCAAATACCTGAGGACACCACTAGAGGGAGACTCCACCCAAATACCTGAGGACACCACTAGAGGAGGACTTCACCCAAATACCCGAGGACACCACTAGAGGAGGACTTCACCCAAATACCCGAGGACACCACTAGAGGGAGACAGGCAGATTCAAAGCTTACACTGGCAGCTCTGCTGATCCCTCCCTCAGTAGTACCCCCAGCTCTGCATATTCCCCCCCCCGCTCAATAGTACCCCCCAGCTTTGCTGATACACCTACTTAGTAGTAAACCCCAGCTCTGCAGATCCCCTGCTCCGTAATAACCCCCAGCTCTGCAGA